ATACTTCATCCCTTTCCTGCTCTCTGCCCATGGGTTTTGGGGTAGGTGGTTTTTTTCTAAAGAAAAAATCTGCTAGCAACAAAACAGAAACTTTCAGTCCTCTGCCCTCGTGGCTGCAGTTGCCAACTGCCTGGGTAATCTCATTCCAATGAGTTTATGGATGTGAGAGGCTGTGTTGCCACAATAGTGCACACCCAGTGTGCGCGTGTTGTGTATGGTTCAAACATGCCAGTATTCATGTGTGGTTACGGCTCTGTTGGAAAGAGCCGAAGAACATCTGTCATGAAATGAAGAGTCTCTTTTTTTCTTCTCATGTGTGCACAGTAGTCCATGTAGGCAAGATGCTGCCTTTTAATAGCCCTCCTTTCACGGGAGCTATAATAGTTTCCTGAGCCCCCAAAGTAAGCAGCAGTGGTGCCTTTGAGATGTGAATCCCAGAGGCTTTCCAAATTGCACAGGGGTGCACAAGAGTGGACGATAAAACCAGCCTGTTCAGGCTTTTCCAGGCATGTGAACAGAAAAGAGCAAAATGGTGAAGCATGTTAAACTCCTTGTGTTGGCAGGAGCACCAGCACATGCCTGCCCCCAGTGCAGATAATCTGCTGTTCCTGTGGGTGCAGCTCAGGAAAACAGAGGTTTTGAACAGTTTGGTTTTAGTTTCACATACAGAGAAGTGTTGATCAACTGACTACATGTTCCTTGTGAGCTAAACAGTTACTGTTCCAGATCTTAGGCATTGGTTTCAAGATTAAACCAGCGGAGCTACAGTTAGCACATACAGCAGAGAGCGCTATAAATTATTTATCAGTTGCCAAGAGACAGGAACCAGGAGACTGGAGGGCTGGAGGCAGGGGATTATATATCATCATTTGCAAGCATCAGTAGATGAAAATTTCATTGCACACAGTTACTGCTGCAGCGCAGTCACTGGGAACGTGGGTTGGGCAAAAAGCTGTTCACCTGAATACCATGACGGGGGCTGCTCTGGCTTCTGAGCAAAGCATCAGGTGCTCAGTCAAGCAGTAGAGCTTGGCTCCAGGTTTCCTCTTTGTCTCAAAATTAAGAGCCTGCCAGGCTCCATTCTTGCATTTTCTTGAACTCACAATTTCCTCAGCCCTCTGTGGGATTTGAGGGTAGATGAAGAGTTTATCAGGGTCTGGCTGTCTGTCTTTGGAAGCTTCACTGAATCGCTGCTGTCAGTTTGCTCTGCGCTATGCTGAGTGGGTCCCTACCAAACTCAAGCTCAATGGCTCTCAGTGGCGTTGCCACTGAGATGTTGCCAGGCTCTCCCTCCTGCAGTTCCTGTCTTTGTAAAGTGCTTGTGCACAGGGGTTGGCATGTGGTTTCCAAAAGATGATTGTTATGGGACGTGGGTGCTAGGTGTGCAAGCTGGACTTGGCAAGGAAGAAATGAATGAGCCCATCAACTGCTAGGTAGTTAAATCGGGGAAAGCCAGCCATATTCCAGCTATCAAGCCACAAAATGCAGGTTTTGGCGAAACATGAAATGAATGGAAACTATGAAAATTACTTAACCATCAGTGAGGATTATTTATAAACTGAAGGCTACCCCCCTCCCCCCCCCCCCCAGCCCCAGGCACCCAAATGGGGCTGTAAATACTGCCTGGGGTATGTGGAACAGAAAGAGAAACCGTGAAGAGCCTCTCTCCTTCCTCCTGTTGTCCTGGCAGGGGAGGCACTCGCCCAGCAGACAGCATGGAGTCGGTAGTAAATCCTCCTTTGAAAAGTATTCTCTAGATTGTAGTAACCAGAGATCTTTATAGTAAGGCAAGGCAAAGGATGTGTCTGTGTCAGGGTGAGCTGGAGATCTGGCTTCTGAGTTTAGGGAAGCAGCATCAGCCTGGAGCTAACTGTGTGCTGTGCTTGGAGGGTGTAATGCTGGTGTGCTCCTGCAGCTCCCGGCCAGCACAGAGCTGTGTTTATGGGACCAGAGAAGGGGGAGACCCTCTCCCCCCAAACACCATTACTTTATTACTGCAGCAGCATCCCTTTTATGAAATCTTCAGAAACATATTGAAAGTTCTTGGCAGCTGCTAGGAGCAACTGCGCAGACTGCTCGAACAGGAGTACATTGTGATGTGGCAAATGTTTTTGTGCCCCTGTCTTGGTCCTCTCCCCTGAGAATCTGGTGCTGGAGACAGGTTTAAGTCTGTACAGGGAGCAGGGATTCCCTCATTCTCCTCTGTACTTGCTGCTGTGGACATGAGCAGCGTATGGCAGATGCATTCCTGTGGCTGTGCCTCAGCAGAGGAGCTATCTGTGTGGGAGATCTACCAGTGACTGAGCCCTTGGAAACATACAGCTGTCTCGTGTAGCAGGATCCAGCTCTTTCCATTGCTGCTCCACAGACCCTGCTGCCCATCCTTGCGTAGCTGCTTGTTTTAGCAGCCCCCTGATTCTGGTGTCGGGCAGCATTGGGAAGAGTTAAATCTCTGAAATTTCATGTGTTGATGCTGCTGCATTTCGGAAGTGAAGAAAGTCCCTTTGTGTCTGCCCGCCCCCCTAAACCTTCACTATTGGGTTAAAAATAAAACAAACTTTCATCTTTTCTGTGGTTATGTTTATAAAAGGGCACACACTGGCCGTGCTCTGCTCAGCCCCTGTCAGCTGGCATTCCCTGCTCCCACTTGCTCAAAGTTGGCCTGCCCTGGACCCCAGGCAGCTCCCATGGGATGGATGTGCTCCCGGCACCTGTTGTTTGTCGTGTGCCTGTAACATGAAAGCTTTTTTTTTCAGGGGGTGGGGGGGAATTTCCTAAGAAACATCCAAATCCATTTCCCAAATGGCTGCAGCTGCTAGTTCTCGGGCATGGGTACTGCTCTTCAGACCAAATGTTGTCATCCAGAAAGAGCTCTTTTACTTATTTATTTAGAGTAGACGTGTATTTATAAGCAGATCAGGTGGCTTTGGAAATCTTCCTGAATATCTGCCTCAAGCTGGCAAACACTGGTGTCAGACCCAACAGCTTGGTGTATAATGTGTTATGGTTAGGGGCACAATTTGCTCGTGTCCTGCATGTAGTATAGGTCCATAGAACAATAAGAAAGGAGAGCATGGTCTGATACACTGACCTTACACTTGGCTGTGTAAGGGGCATCAAGCTCAAGGCAGTAGTAGACCTTTTGCAGGGGACAGGCTCTGGGTAAAGGGTGCCATGTGCCACTCCAGTGCAGTCAGGGCACAAGCCTGCCTGTGGTGAAGAGCCAGGCTGAGCTGGCTCTAGCTTTGTTTTTACAGCACGCGAGTTGTGCTGCCTTCTCTGTGTGATTCCATTGCCCTCGGTGGATTTGCTCTTCATCCTTGCCAGTACAAGAGCAGCCTCCATAGCAGCAGAGACCAAAGGAGCTGGGGAGTGGCAGATGCAAAATTCTCCTGTTCTGGTCTGGCTGGTGCCACATAGTCCCAGTGTGGCAGATTGGTGCATGTGTCTGAATTCTTAGAGTGGTCCGGCTTGTACTTGATCTCATCTTTCCTTTGCACAGCTGCAGGCATACCAGTCCCTAACTCTGCAGTATTAAACACATGCCCAGTAATTTGAATGATAAATGTTGCTCTGGCTGGCCTGCCTCTGAGCTGAGGACACCAGTGAGGGAGCTAGACAGTTGTTGTGCTGATAATTTGGTAGCAAGGACACTGGGTCACTTCTAAATATGACTTATATGAAGAACTTGTTCCCCACGGATGGGAGCAAGCTACATACCAGAGCTAAATATACTCCATGATCACAAAAGATGGAAAGTCGTGGACCTTGGAGTTAAAACTGAGTCTCCTGTTTCTTGGTCTCTTAATCCTGTAAACAGGATCATGCTGTCCCCTGCAATTTCCCTGTTGCCAGCTTTGAGCATTTCAGCGCTCCTGTATCGTAGCTGAGCTGCTGCTGGCTCTGCTCTTGCCAAAGCAGCAGAGGCTGGGATAGCCATGCCAGGGGCAGGCTTGCAGCCACCCTAGGATTCCTGCTTGCAGAAAGGTGTGGAGAGAGATGTCTTAGATGCTCTAGAACAACAAAGGCACAGCTGGCGGTAGACATCACGGAACCTCTTAAAAGGGAATTTCTTTGTTGGCCGGGAAGTCACTTGTTTCATCAGTGTAGGCTTTCTTCTGTCAAAAATAGATATGTCATCACTTATTCTATAGCTAAATAATTCAACTTCAAAATACTTTGTTTATCCAGGAGAATTTGTCATACATCAAATGTGTGGACGGTTTCAATTAAAAGTCACTGAACGGGATCATGTGTAAAGTAAACCTGTTAAAAAACAGTTGAAAGTAGCCCATTTAATATAGATGATGCCACAAGTTGTCGGGTAGTTGAGAAGACTTCAAGAGATGTTTCTGCAGCCTTTGGTTTTCTCCAAATTACAGAAGAAAATTGGAAAGCTTAGTTTAAGGTAGAATTCCTGGGGCTTCCTGGGTTTTTCTCTTGCATGGACAGGGTGAATCCAGCATCGTCCTTTGTTTCTCACACTGCAGATGAAGGGCTCTGGCTCCTGTAGTGTACTGGTGTGAAGCATTTTCCGTTTCTCCTGTCAGTTAATTTCTGGTTTGGCTGTGCTGATAACTTGAAAGGGGAGGGGTTTTTCCTCCTCTGGATAGCTGACTAGTTGCGGATTAACTTCCATGTGGCTTTTTCCTCAGTGCCAGATGGCTCTTGTTTCGGGCAGATGTTATCTCCTGCTACCTGAGTGTTTTTCAGCCTGCTTCTCCAAAACTATTCTTGGTCTGGCCCAACATGCTTTGTTTGGGATTAACTTTTTTCTTTGTTTCCTTTTTCCTTTGGGTGTGGGGAAAGCAGATGGAGAGGATAAAGCTGTAAGTTGTTGAGCCTGGTTAACTCGTGGTAGAGCTCAGCATGTTGATCTTGGGCGCTGGGTTATGCTAAGAAAAAGGATTGGATCTTAGTGAGAAGATGTACTCTCATCTGTAGCTGGCAACCTCTTTTTAAAACACTTTTGTTTTGTTGTTGGTTTATTTTCCCCCACACCCCTGCACTGGCTATGGGGAAGGTGTTGATTGCCTTTCTTTTTACTCTGTTTTTGTGGGATCCACCTTCCTCTGCTATGGGCCATTAGTTTGTTGCATTGTGAAGTCAAGATGCACCAACACTAAAATGCTGATGTTGCTGGGCTATGATAGGTTCTTACTACTGCAGTTCCTCCAGTTCCTTAAGTTTTCTCTCTCCTGCCAAAATGAAAAAAAATTGAAATAATGGATTGCTCTTGTACCCTCCAGCTGGCATTAATGCTTCTCGAGCAACGTTTTTGATTGGCTCAGCAACCAGTTATCACTGGATGCTGCACCATACTCACTTTGTCTTCTTCTGATTCCAGCCTGGGACAGTCTGTTGTGGCAGGTTGATCCTTGGCAATTGCCACAAGTGTGGTGATGTCTGGTCCCAACAGGGAAGCAGGAAGCTAAGCTGTGTACCTCTTTGCATAGGCTGCTGTGTAAATCTCCTCAGAGGGCCACAGGAGCGTAAGCAGCAGACAGACAGGCAAATTAGTTACAAGATGAGCAGAGATGGTGTTCGTTTGCTATTCTGTGTTTGTATCATACTGTAGTAGGGAGGATAAACACTGTACAATAGAGTTGCAGGGTTCATCCTTGTCTTACTTTGAGCTGGCTGGTGAGGCAGAAGTCATTGCCATTGCAATGCATGTTTAAATCAGCTTTAGTAGGAGCACTTCAGGATTGGGAAGTTTGTCATACCAGTAGTTGAAACCCAGCCCATGTCAGTGAATGATGATGGATGGTGGAGTGGTTGGGGCACAATGAATGTCCTGATCCACACCAAATTGCTGGTGGATAAACTCTGTGATCTCCTCATTTGTTGGCAGGCAGGGACTGCCCTGGCCATGCTCCAGCCTGTAGCTCCTCCTCATCATGTCTGGATTTGAGAACAGGTCCTGAATTCCTCGTGTTCCTACAGCCTGCCATTGTGGCTGGGGCCCTTATGGTGCATGTTGCCACTGCTTAAAATGGCTCCACAAAGTGAGTGCTTGCTGGCTTGGGAGTGTCCTTCAGGAATGACATCTTGGGGTGAGAATCACATCAGGATATGTCTGTGCATCACCAGCTCTGAGGTGTAGAGCTCCTGGTCTGCTGCTGCTCTCCAGTGCTGCTGGGATATGCTTCCCAGAGCTGCTTCTGTCTGGTGCTCTTGGAACCCACTCCAAAATACATCTTCAGATCTCTCCTCCAGGCTGTGGTGGGAGGTGTTGCTTGACCAGAGGTAGTTGTCAGGTTGCTGTCATGGTCAGCTCTGGCTGTGCTCAGCTCATTGTGCAGTACCACCTACCAACTGGAGCACAGCACCACGTGTTGTGGCAGTGTGGGTGTCCCTGTAGCAGCTAATGGGTAAACTCTAGTGGAAATGGAGGCCAAATTCCTGGAGTCAAATGCCAGAATTTGTGCCTTTGCTGGCAGACACAAAGGGCTCTGTTCCTTTATCCTTTAAGGAATAAAAGCCTGGTCGTGGCAGTGGCATTTGTGTCCTGATCTCTGCAAGACTGCCAAGAGCTCTGTGCTCCTCCTTGCTTCCCAAGTGCTTGTGTGATGCTGTGTCTCTTGACAGAGGGTTGCAGTTATCTCCTATATCTACAGGAGCAATGACACCAGCTCCCAGCATGGCTGGTAGAGATCAAGGGGGTCAGGAACTCCTCTTTGCTGCTCTCCCAGGCCTGTACAGCTTGCGAGAGCTGCTCATGCATAGGAAACCCTGCAGGATGGGGAAGAGCTGAGAAAGTGCAGCTAAAACTCATTTTAGCTGTAAATCTGATAGGTAAAGATCAAATATATGAAGTGCCTCTGAGATGAGCTCTACCAGATAGAGCTGATGTTGAGGGAGAGGGCCTGGTTAGCTCGTTCTTCTTCCTTGCCATTGGGAAGAGGTGTGGGACACATGGCCATCTGACTGTTCCCTTCTTCCTGGCTGCCCACCAGCCTCCCCTGCCCTGCAGCTCACCCCCAGCAGCTCCACCAGTGCAGTGTGATGGGGAGAACAGGTTTTAGGGCTGCACCAAAAACTTGCTGCTTTGCTCTGTCCTTTGTGTTTTGCACAGCAAGAGCAGAAGCTGAGCCCGTGTCTCCTCTGCCAGGGGCTCTGTAACCATCTCTTTTGTTCTATGTCTTTCAATTTTGGCTGCCATTGTGCCTCATAGTCAGGAACGTGGGCTAGTGTGGTGATCCCATCTGCCCTCCTGCACTGCAACACCCATCCCGAGTCCCTGCTGCGGCCACTGCTGGCTCTAGACTTAGGTTTGTCTGCACTGATTGCATTTGGTGGCCTTTGCCTGTGATTAATCACAACATCTCATACATCTGCTCGTGGAGTGACTCTGATGTATGGTGGCAATGGTTGATGGCTTGGTTGACATTTTACATTCACACTGTGCATGTTCTAGATGAAGTTCTCCTCTGGCTGGCAGGGCCAGTTGTGGGGGATGGAGGAAAACTGCAGGGAGGGAGGGAGGGAAAGGCATCTTAAAACACACAGATGTGACTCATTCTCTAGAAATTCGGATTAGAGTTTGCTGCTTTCTAGAAGAACAACTCAAAAAAACCTCCAAAAATCATCTTCAGAAATTATGGCAGGGGGGAATATATTTAAGGACTTTAAGTCTGGATGTTAAATACAGCCTGCAGGGAACTTTATTGCGCTGCACTGTTTTGTTTTGTCTGTAGCTGCAAGTCATCAAAGTGACCTTACCTTGGATTGTGCATTTTGATCCATGAGTTGCCATCTGTCCACCTAATTCAGAAGTCCCAACTGCATAATATCTCGATAGAAACTTCTGGCTAAATTGTTGACACCCCACAGGCCAAAAGAACCTTCCCTTTTACATAGAAGTGCATTCTGCAGTTGCCGAGTGTGATTTTTCTAGTGCAGTAAACCATGGTGTGTGATATGCACATGTGTATGTATTGGGCTGGGATGTATTTCTGGATACAGTAGAGGAGTACTTACTGTATTCCTAGCTAATGGTGCTTTTTATTCAAAGTAGCATTGAAGAGCTGGAATTTTTCTGTGCTGAAAAAGAAATAGTAGTGCAGGATATCATGGATTTGCTCTTGCATACACCACAGGAGCTGCACCGGAGGAGCTGTACACATGAAAGCAAAGCTGGTGTGTGGAGTCTCTCAGGGATGAGCTGGGGGCATGCACTCACCCTGTGTCCCTTTGCTCTGAAGAGCAGTTGGGTGGCAGCAGGGGACATTGGGGGGTGGCCTGCATTGCTGTTCAAACAGGATGATGCTCAGGCTGGATTGCTTGGAGGCTCTTGGACCATCCTGCTGGTTGCTTTGCAGGCGCAGGCTGAAAGCCTGTGTGCAGGAGAAGTTCAGGCCCCTCCTCTGCTCCTGCTGATGGGTGTTGTGTGGCTGGCTCATCCTGAGCGTCAGGACTGTGTGTGTGGCTTTGTTGCGTTTGTGGGGTGGTTTTAAATTGATCAAGCCCTGGAGTAGCAGGAACCCAGCAGTGGGACACTACATATGGGGAGAGGCAACAGGCAGCTAGAGCATCCCATCACCAATCTGGGATGCAGGCTGTTGTCTGAGCTGCTGATTTACAAGGGGGTAGAGCAAGAGGTGTGCATGGGGTCCACTCCTATTGCTCCATGGGCTAATGCCAGGGAATGCCTCTGCAGAGCCTTTTCCCAGCCCCTGGTCTGCCAAGACAGCAGCACTGCACCTCTGTGTTCTTTAAAACAAAACAAAGGAAACAAACCCCAAGTGACCAAGCACGGCATTAGGCCCAGCTCCTCAGCAGAGGCATCTGCTGCTGCTTCCTGCTGTGGGGGACATGGGTGCCCTTGGTCTGAACTGATGCATAAGCTCTAGCTCTGATTCAGTTGTAGCAGCCTCAGCTTGTATCAGAGCTAAGCCAAAAGTGATCCAGTCACTCTCTGCTGCCTCATCTCATTCTTGTTAGTCACAGGGTGATACTGGGTATGGTGCATTTATGGACTGAAGGACTGCAAGGTCCCTCTCTCTGTACTATGCCAGGGATGGCTCTGGCCTCTGGAGATGGTCTCGCACTTAATCAGCCCAAGGCTGAGGTGCTGCTTCCCACCATCCATCCTCCTTGGTGCTGCCCCTTTGGGGCTAGCCTTGTTATATCTAAGGACCCTGACTTCAGAGGTGGTGTTGCTGTGTGCAGGGAAGAGAAAAATAATTCTCTTATCATGCAAATTGCCTCAAGAAAAACCATAGTGTGTATGTGAGTGGGAAATGGAGAGAAAACTTGGTTCAGATGAACACTTGTTTCTGAGGAGCCTTTCTCCTGCCTGAAGAACAGCTTAAACCATCTGGTGCTGCTGGCAAAGCCAATGAGAATAGCCTCATTTGGCTGGACTGGAGGGACCAGCCCCACGTGAAACCCAGTATATTGTATGTGGTAGCTGAGACCTAGGATGGACGCTTGGGTGGAATGACAGTGGCCAGTGACCCACCCAGCAGAAGTGGCCGGTCCCTTGCTGTGAGTCCCCATAAGCACCAGAGTCCTGGAGCTTCCAACCCCAGAGATGGATGAGTGGGCAAGATACCCTCTCTGTAGCAGTTGAGCTTGGCTCTAAAGAGCAGTGTGGGCACGTACAGGCCTTGTGAAGAGCTTGTGGGAGCCTTTTAGCAGTGGTTGTGTTTGAAACTGTGCTGTCACACACATCCACACACAAACCCCCGGAGCGTCTGAATCTGCATGAGCGCTCTGCAGTTACCTTGGGGTTTTCTGTTTGCCAAAACAAGCTGGGTTTGGAGGCGGGCTGGAACGAGCCCTCCAGAGGATGGGTTCTGGTTCGTGCTGTTGTCTGATGTGGTTTAGCAAGCAGCCACCAAAGGGACCCTTTCCCCAAAGTGCACTTCTTGATGCACGTGGCTCTGATCTGTCAGTGACCACGTGCCATTTGCTGGGACCAGTCTGCTCACCCCTGTTTCTTAAACAAGCCCCAACTGTGTCAAGCCTGTGCACGTTGGAGCTCTGTGCTGCTATGGGCTGTGCAGGCAGATACCATTTGCACTCTGCATTGATGTGCAATTGCTTGTTTTCATCTGGCCTATGGCAATTTGTGTGGATGGACCTAAACCTTCTGGTTAATACAGTGTTTTATCTTGTTTGAGGCCTGACTTGTTGGAGGTCCTTTGGAAAATACAGCTCTTTCATTTTGCTGCTTTTTTGGGGGTTTTGGGTGGTTTTTCTTTTCCCTTTCCTTCTCTTTAGCAGTTTTTATCAACCAGATTAATGGGCAGTCCTGCATTAATGATCTTCAGATCTGTGGACTTTAATTGACCAGTGGTGCTCAGTTCCTCTCAGCAGCACAGCTCACTCAGGGCAGGGGCAAACTGGCTGATGAAAAGCAACACTTTAGGAGCTCCATTGAAAGGCAGAGGAAATGGCAGGGCTGGCTGGCCACAGAGC